TGCAAGCGCTGCCCAGGGGCCTTCTTTGCGTTTGCCAGGGAAGCATTTATTCTACTGAGCTATCTCCCCAGCCCTCCAGGGGCCTTCTGACCAAGTGTCCTGCTTCACTGGGACAAAGGGGAGCACATCTGGAACCTGAACCCACCCAAGAGTTGGGGTGCTTTCTGGGCCCTGCAGTGACAGTCACAGCCTTCCTGGCCGTCGTCTTCATGGTGTGTCTGCGAGGAGACTTCCATTAGCCTGTAGCATGCAGGCTGGTGACCTCACTGCTCCATGTGACAAAGGTCCTTAAAGGCCAGGGAGGGGTCAGCAAGAGGTGGCAGAGAAGCTGGGGAAGTAAGACCAGGACCCAGCATGGTTGTTGTAGGCCTCCTCTTTCTTCCCAGGCCACAGAAGCCACTAGGGGGTGGGGGGTCAAAGCCACTTGGGGTGCGATCAATCAAATCTGATTTGGGGGCAGCTAGAAAGGGAGGGAGCAAAGAGAAGAAAAAGGAAGGTACTCTCCAGTTGCCGTCATGGCTAATCTGGGAATGAGCCACTAAAAGACCAGCTTGGGACAAATCTGTGGCTTTTTGTTTTTGTTTGTCTTTTTGAGACAGGGTCTCTGCCCTTTCAGGTTGGCCTTGAGCTCATTCTTTAGCCCAGGCTGGTCTGGAACTTGTGCTCCTCCTGCCTCAGCCTCCCAGAGTGGGGTGACAGGTTTGGGCCACTGTGTCCAGCTGCAGTGTAGGTGTCTCTTTGTGTTCTTTTTATACTTTGCCTCCCCTCCCAGGAACTGGAGCTCCAGGGCAGAGGCCAAGTCCTGTCCAGTGCTGGCCTGCATAGATACAGCCTGGCACACTGAAGTTTCTGAAATACTTACTTAATCCATGAGCGGACGAAGGTCATTGCTGGGCCAGCCATTAAAGGAAAGTGTCTGCGTTCCTGACCAGACCCCCACTAAAGGCTACACTTTCTCAAAGACAGATGTTCAGTTTAACCCCAAAACAAGGCCTTGCCTTCTGACTCGTGTCCCCGGCCGAGTTTTCTCTGCAGTTCCTGAGCATGCCAGGACCTCGTGCCACTTTCCTGCCGGTTGAGCCTCAGTGCCTGGCTGAATCATTCCCCAAGTCCTTGCTGAGAGAACGAGTGGCCTTTGGGGGTTGGCAAGTGCCTTGTGACCATCAGGAAGCTGATAAGCAAAGAAAGCGCTCGGAACCAGGCCTGTTGGCTCACACCTGCAGTCCCCACACCGGGATGCTGAGGCAGGAAGGTCCTGTGAATTCGAGGCCAGCCTGGACTGCGTAGCAAGATCCTATCACAAACAAAACAAGATGAAAGTCAGCATTCAGCCCTGTGTGTGGGGTGGGGGGGACAAACAACTCCCTAGCACCAGGGAATTTTTGCGAAATGCGAATTCTTAGGCCCTCTGCAGACCAGCTTAATGGGAAACAGGTGGGGGAGGGGGTCCTAGTAACCAGCTCTCCAAGGAATACTGTTTGCAGGTTTGCAGTCCTCTGGCTTACGAATGTGATCCACTTTTCTCCCTCTTACTCCACGCTATTATATTTTAAGAGGCTTTAACTGTCTGTTATTATAATCTGTTTCCTCGTCTTTCTATTTTCTTTCTTTTTTAATGGTGGTACTGGATGTTAAAGCAATCCGCATCCCTTATTGTAAGATGGGAGGCAGGCTCACTGAGTTGCCCAGCTGGGCTCAGCTTTGCTTAGCGTCCTGCCTTGGGCTCCCAGAGTGCTGGAATTGCAGGGCTGTGCCACCAATCCTGGCATAGAGCTCCATCTCGTCCAGCTCTGGCCATTAGGCAAAGAGAAGTTGCAAGCTGGTGCCAGAGCTGGGGTCAGCCCCACTTTCCAAGCTCTAGTGCTAGGAGCCCAGCCCGTGTGCTGTGAGCTCTCGGATGGGTGGTGGGTTTCCAGGGGCTGCTGTGGTACAGGTGACCTGTGGTCACGCCCTGGCCCCTCTGTGCGCTCCCTTGGGGCTAAGGAGCTACCGCATGTATGTGCCCCTCCAAGCGTGTGCCCCGGTCCCACTCCCTCCTCCCTCCCTGGTGGGTGAACTCTGGGCATCCATCATTCTGTTAATTGTACTAATTAGAGATCGCAGAGGTGTTAATTGGAAAACCCTGGTATTGTGCCTGTTTGGGGAAGAAACCGTCAATAAAAATTAATTGATGAGCTGGCGGGGCGGCCGGCGCGGGTCCAGGCGAGGCGCGGGGTGCAGTGGCCAATGTTATTGCTCAGATTAAGCGACTGTTAATTAAAAAGCCATGGTAATTAATACTCCTGACGCCATATGGGCCCGCAGAGAGGCACAAAAGATTTCTCGTGTGGGGCTCCCTATCTTTTTTCCTCTTCCCCCACATACTCCCAGGAAGATGGAACTGTCCCTCCCGCAAGAGAGGTGGGCAAGCCCTGGGCATACTTGGAGGGAGCACACTTGGAGGGAGCACTGGCGCATGCTTGGCCCTCCGGAGGAGGCAGCACCCTGTGGCCGCAGAGTCTCCCAGAGCGGAAGAGGCGGCTGTGGCTTGACCCAACTTCCTTCCTTTCCACGTTGTCTGTGGGAGCCTGAGGGCCTGGCCAGGCCTCTGGGTGCCCTTGGTCCCCCAAGGGGAACTCTGCCCACAGGAGTTCCCATCCCCAAATAGCTTTGCCCCATCGAGGTAGGAGAGGGAGCTGGGTGGGGCAGAGCCCTCATCCCAGTAAGTCCTAGAAAGACCTGGCTCTGGCTTGCAGGGGGGAAAGAGCAGCTCGGTCCCTGAGCAAGGGCAGTGAATCACTCAGGGTCCCCCCCCCCCCCCGCCTGGACCCCAGCAGAGGTCTAAAGCTGCTGCTCCTGCTCCTGCCTTTCCTCATGCGGGTGAGGATGGGTGGCGAAGGCAGAGGGGCACTTGGGCCATGGGGTGGAGTGAGTCTCAGGGCCCTGGTGGTTCCAGTGGCCTCCATCTACATCCTGGGAGGTTGAGGCCCAGCTCACCCACAGTACAAGGTGCGCCCTAGTCCCCTTGTACAGTTGCACACCCTGTGGCAAGGGGACAGGAGGTGACAGGCTTCTGGCAGGCCCAGCTCTGGAGGGCAGGTGTCCCAGCGCAGAGGCAGGAGAGGTCAGAGCTGGCCAGGGAGTGGCTGCCAGGCCGGGGTTTTTGGGGATGGATGCTTGTGGGTGGGCAGGAGGTGCTGAGTGTGTGTCACCAGGGCCAGGGCCAGGCCCTGGGAGGGAGCAGAGCACGCCACATGGGAATTACTGCCATTCATGCACCCTGCGGAAATGACTTTTCAAATGCATATAATCTCAAGCATGCAAATGAGAGGCTTGCTTCACCCTGTTTAATATGAATGATCGGCCTGTGAATAGCTATTATTACACGCCACATTGCAGCAATTATGTTGTTCCCTGGGTGTCGCTCTGTGCGCCCCCCCCATGGGAGATGGGGAAGAAAGGGGACACTTCTGTGTATGTCCTCCTTCCTTTTTTGCTCCTTTTCCCAAACTTGCTGTCTGATATACAACTTTGCCATGTTCCCATAAATATTGGAAGGGGATGTTACCTTACCCGTGGCAAGTAACTGCTCAGTTTTCTCTGCTCTCTCCTGAGTGCATGTACACCCGGGGCACTGGCCTTTGTCCCCTGGGGCCCAGGAGTCCTCAGATCTCCAAGTAGCTACACTGGGATTCAGGGTGGCAGCTGCTCTTCACCCCCAGCAGGGCCAGGGCTGGGGAAAGGGAGTGGAGTGGCCACATACTCCCCTCTCCCTCCTGTCCAGAGGTCCAGGTCGGGTGGGGGCTGCTCCTGCGGGCTGCCTGGTGGGTGGCTTTGGGGGAGGCAGCTGAGCGCTGGACTGCGGTGGGTGGAGCGCAGTGCCTACTCCATCCATCACTCACAGCCACCAGGCCCCAGTCTGATGCAGCCATTAAGGCCCCAGAGACCAAGCACTCAATGTCTTCCAAACCGTCACCATCACCCACTTCGTGCTCTCCCGCTTCCCCAGGACCCGGGGATGGACGAGTAGCGAGGGGCAGGGAAGGAATCCTAGGGACACAAGTGCACCAGTGTGAGACACCCAGGAGGCCCGCGGGCTTTGCTGCATATGCCGTGTGGGACCTGTGAGTCTGGGGTCTGCATGCTGGCCAGGAGCTGGAGTGTCATGGTCGTAGGCATCACGTATACCTGCTCAGGGAAGCCTCATGGGTGCTGTTGCAGTTCCTCCCTAAGGCACCCTAAGAGTGGGATTCAGCCCACCCAGGGTCAAGAAAACTGGGGTTTAGGGGTACTGGGCAGGATTTGGACAGCTGAGTGTAAGGAGGCACAGCAGCCCCTCAGCCAGGCCATGCCCCCACCCTTGACCTTCATGGTCCTCCTGGCCTCTGGGAAGTTGAGAGCCCTGTCTGGGCCTAAGGGTCATCCCTCACTCTCCACCCTCAGTCCTACACCCTTATTTCTTCGGTGGCAGGCTCAGCCCCAGGGCAGGATGCTTAGTACTCTGCGTTTCCCCATCTGCTCAGCTAGGACAGGCACAGCTGCCCGTGGTGCTCCCAGGAGGAACCCAGGGCCTGTAGGCTGAGGAGAGAGGACAGGATCCTTTGGGCCAAGGACAGGGCAGAGGGCTGCAGACAGGCAGGTGGAGTGCAGGCCCATCTCTGCCACCCCGCACTCTCCATGTCTCCCTCAGGGCCAGGCCACTTGCAGCCAGGTTCCCTGTAGAAACTGGTAGCATGGGACCTTCAGTGTCCTGGAGACCAGGCCCTGCCCTGAGGGAAGTCTCTGCCTGGATGGATTAGGGTCCTGCTGGTGTTCCCTCTCCATCCCCTAGAGCACTCTGGCTCGGAGCCAGAGACAAGTTTAGGAGCCTGTGGGACTTCAGTGGCAGAAGAGGAGCTGCTCCCCACTCAGATCTTGGAGTGTGGGAACACTGGGGGCCCACACCCCCACAAAGGGTCCCGGGAAGCTGAGGGGGAGGCAACGCCCCAGGTCTCAGCACCTCCCCGTGTCTCCTCCTCCAGGTCCTGCTGGAGCGACATGATGGTGGAATCTGCCTCGGAGACAATCAGGTCGGCTCCATCTGGGCAGAACGGCGTGGGCAGCCTTTCTGGGCAGGCGGATGGCGGTGGCGGGACTGGGGCTACAGGCACAGCCGCGAGCGGCCCGGGCAGGGACGCAGTGGCCGCCCCGGACAGCAACGGGGAGATGAGCCCTGCGGAGCTTCTGCACCTCCAGCAGCAGCAGGTAGGTGTGGCTCTTCCTACCTGTGCCCACATCTCCGTCTATCAGTCTGTCAGTGCAGAGCCCAGCCCTGAGCCTGCAGGCCTCCAGGGCTTCCCTCCCTCTGTGCCTGCCAGGGGGTGGCCCTGAGCCTGGGGTGGTGGAGAGAGATTAGCAGGCCTGGGGCCTTGAGTTCAGGAGCTGGGACTAGGCCCAGAAATGTCCTGAGGACAGACCGGCGCCTCTCTACCCTGGTGCTGGCTGGGAGAGGGTAGATTAGCGGGGCCAAGGGTGCTTGTGCCCAGGGGAGACTTCACTTCATCTCTGAAAACTTTCCCGCCCCTGGGTCAACATGGGTCCCAGCTCCAAGCTGTGCAGCGATTCTACTTCCTGATTAAGTTTCCCAGCACCAAGCAAAGGCCAGGGCCAGAGGCGAAGATGGGCCTCTGTTTCAGACTGTGCTCCTAGAAGTTGTTGCTGGTGGCACTGGCTCTTGGAGGCTCCACTGGGACCCTGGAAAAGTGGGGTTCCACCTGTCCCTCCCCACCCACCTCCAAGGGCAGGCATGTTGATGCAGGTCTGCAGAACCAGCTACTCCTTCCTGAGGCTGAGGTGGGAAGGTGGCGCAGAGTTTTAAGACCAGCCTGGGCAACACAGTGAGACCTCATCGTGGTAAGGGAGGCACTGCTCCTGGACCCCCACCACTCACCCCGCACGCCAGCCCATAAGCCTTTAACACTCTCCAGAGCCAGAAGTCGGACAGCTGCTGGCCGGGCTCTGAAACAGGAATGGGAGGAACCTGGGTTAGCTCCCAGATGGCCCGCACCCCACAGCAGTGTGACCTTGGCCGAGTTGTGGGCCGCCCTGCACCAGGGCTGACTTGGCCCCGGAAGTGGCAGGGCTCTGAGGATCAGACATAGCCTGGGTGTGAGCCCCTTGCATTGGCTGGCCTGCGTGAATGTGGACGTGGGCAGAATCTAACAGTCACCTCCCCCAGCCTGCCAAGAGTGGGAAGGGCCTGTCTCCTCTCTGAGGAGGGAATTTGGTGGCCTCTTCCAAACCTCCTGGAGTAGGTTTTCTGAGGAAGAGACACACAAAGTCTGTGCCCACTGCTGGGGACAGGTCAGAGGACAAAATCCTAGCCTTTATCAAAATAACAAAACACACCCGATGGGCAGTCCCCAAGTCCACTGTGGGTGGGACCAGCCCCCATCTCCCCGCACCTCTGTGTAAACAGCTCTGAAAAATTTCAAGTGTGGCAGGAGGTGGAGGGGAGAAGATGCCAAAACTGGAGAGTTTCTTTTGAAAAATGACTGAAAGCAAAGCAGGAACACAGATCTGGAAAAGCAGGGTGGCGTTTGGGTGGGGAGCGCGGGACTGTCTGTACTGATCAGGTTTCTGGGTCCCCTACTGCACACGAGTCAGCTCCACCATCTACCCTGCACATTCCAGTTATTCCTGTTTGTTTTGGGGAATATCCCAAAGTCCTGGAAAATCCTATATCGTTTTCACAAATAAACTGGGGTGGGTGGGGATCTGGAGGCAGGCGCAGGGCTGTTTTATCCATTTGGGCTCACTGTGGGCACAGTGCCCGGGGCCAAGGAAAATATTTGAGACTTTAAAAAAAAGTTTTCTTGGCTTCAAACTCTAAAAAGAACTCTGCAAAATTAAAATTACAGGATTTCCAATTAAACTGAAACAATCCGGGGGCCATCCCTCCACCACCCCCATAGATACGAACGAGGCTTGGGGGGGCTACACGGTAATGCTGTGGTCCCCCAGCAACACGAGAGGTACACAAGGGTGTGAGACCCAGGGCCTGGCCTTGATTCCTCTGGACCGCCCATCCCTGCCAGGAAGTCCTTCGAGAACAACTTCATTTACGCCGAGTCACGAAATCGCCTCTCTATCCCAGAGTTCTGATATTTTTATTTCCATTTCAAAGATGGAGCCAGAGAGAGGCATTGCTGTGTCCAGGTGACATAAAAGCAAGTGCTAGGTTTGGTGTGCTCCCCCCACCACATTCCTGGGCCGGGCACTCCCTCCTGCCCCCTCTCAGCCCGCAATGCTCTGTGGAAAATGCACAGTGCCCTGTGGGAGCTGACCGAGTTCTCAGCCTGGGCTGGGGGCTGCGGGCTGCAGCAGGTTGAGGAGAAAGAGTGGTAACTGGGAGTGACTCCCGGGCCCTGCCCGGGGCTGCACGCCTCTAGCTCTTGTGCAAGCTTTATTTCGGGACATTCTTGCTAAGTTGCCCAGGTTGACTTCCAATTTGATGGTCTTCGTGCCTCAGCCTCCTGAGTAGCTGGAATGACAAGTTTATGCCATCCAATTCAGCCCTAAAGGGCTTAAAACAAAATAAAAAGTGGGTAAGGTTGCATGTACCTGTTGCCCTGGTACTTCGGGAGACTGAGACAGGATGATTGTAAGTTCGAGCCAGTCTGGGCAATTTATTAGCTCATTTATTAACCCCATCTCAAAACCTTAAAATTTTTTTTTTTAAAACATTTTATTTTATGTTTTTTTCTTATTTTTATTTATTTGAGAGAGAGAGAGAGAGAGAGAGAGAGAGAGAGGGGTGTGTGTGTGGGGGGCAGCTCAGCCCACCAGGGGGCGGGGCTGGCTGGCATGTGGTGCTGGGGGATTGAACCGCGGTCCCTGATGCCTTGCCAAGCTTGTTCCAAGTAGGTGCTTTAGACCACTGAGCCATCTCTCCAGCCCCTTAAAATTTTTTTTTAAAGATAGGGTCTAGTTATATAGTTCACTCTAGCCTTGAACTTACTATGTAGCCCAGGCTGGCCTCAAATTCACAGTGATCTTCCTGCCTCAGCTTCCCAAGTCCTAATATGACAGGTATGTACTACCATGCCCCACTTAAAAAAAAAAAAAGTTTTTTTTTTTTTTTTTTAATGGCTAGGGGTGTAGCTTGTTGCAAAGGTCTTAAGTTCAATTCTAAGTACCCAAAACAAACACAAAACAACTGGGCTTGGTGTTATGCTGCAGAAGCTGGGGGAGGAGGATCATGAGTTCGAGGTCAGCCTGGGTCTCAGAATAATACAAATGCAGCCCTGATCAGTGGTGCCACTGCAAACTCTAGAGGCAGGGGCTGACATGTGAACTGTAGGTCCCCCCAGACCCTGTCTTCCAGCTCTGTGCCTCCCTCCCCCAGGTCTCCAGGCCCTGTCTCCCTGCGCCTGTCTGTTGGTCCTTGTGCCTCTGCTCTGAGTAAACAAGCCCTGGAAACGCAGCCCTGGCCTTTAGTAATGAGTTGACAGAGAGGCAGAGAGGGCCATCAGAAGTCAGGCCCGACCGACTTGGACGTGGCAGACAGTGTGCCTGTCATGCGGTTTCCATGTGCCCAGCACGCCTGGGGCTTGTTCAAACAGAAGCTGGGGCAGCCGGCTGCCTGGCTTGGGCTGGTGCAAGAGAAAGGGTCCTGGTCCTACGGGGTGGGAGCCTGCCTCTCAGGGCTGCCACCAGGGACCCTCCCTCCACAAGGGGACATATGCCAGGGCTGGGACTGGAGCTGGTGACCTCCTGCTGCCATCGCAGGGAGCCCTAGACCAGCAGTGGCAGACGCTGCTGGCCCCTCCCCAGCCACGGCCAAAATGCCTGGCTGTGCACTCCCCTCTTCCGAATTTTCATCCTGTAGGATGGTGTTTTTTATTTAGAAGTTACCACTTTGTCTTACCTTCTTTTTTTATTGTTGACTTCAGTTATGGATGGTGTATTTGTTTTGAGGTATGTTTTAAAGACAAGAGTCTCATTAAGTTGCCCAGGCTGGCCTCGAACTTTTGATCCCCCTGCTTCAGCCTCCCACGTGGTGAGTCACAAGCAGCCACCACGCCTTGCTCCTAAGCATTATCTGAATGTGATCACCTATATAAAAATGTCCCCAGTGTGCGTGGGGCTTCCTCGGGGACCCCACAAATACCCTCCCGGCTCTCTGGTAATAGGAGCTGCTGAGGGCTGAGGAGGGCCTGGACCAGACTGGGGAGGCAGAGGCTGTGGGCTGGGTGAGGGGAGCCAGGCTTGTGGGGTGCAGGCAGAGCTGAAAGAGGCCTGGGCCGCACATTCCCATTGTGCACAGGTTGCAGGGGGGTTGACAGGTCAGGGAGGGTCACGGAAGGGTTGCCTAGCATCTGGGAACTCCCACCGCAGTTACCATGACAACTAGGCCAAATCCCACCCTGTTCACATCCTGTGAGGAGACTTAAAAGTGTCGGGGGGCTCTGTACATTCATGGACTTTTAGCTTGGCCTCCTCTGCAGAGATGGGAGGCGTTGGGCTTGGGGGAGGGGGGAACAGAAGAGTGGAAGGGACTCTGGCCTTTCCTCTACATCTGCCTGGCTACTTAGGGGATTGGAGGGAAGGGGGTCAGCACCCCACTGCCACTGTGCTGCCAGCCACATCCTGCTGTTCATTCACATGGAGGAGCTTGGAGACCTCACGCCCAGGCACCCTTACGTGCTAAGCAGGCGTGGACCATGAGGAGTGGGGGGGCTTGGGTGATATACTGGGGACAGGGCCAGACCTTTCACCACCCACTCTGGGTACCCTCCAATCCCTCCCGGAGGGAGCTGCGCTGGGGTGAGGCAAGTGCCCGGGGCCTGTGGGAGGGGGCTGCAGACCCTGTGTGCCTGCAGGAAGCCTGGGGGTGTTGGAGCTCCTGCATTCCCTTTTTATGGCCAGTTTCTGTCGCTACTCCTCAGGACTTCAGGGGTAGAGGGCTGGGGCCGCGGGGTCTCCCTGGGACCCAGCAGGGGTGTGGAGAGCTGACAGGAGACTGTGTTCCAGCGTGCCCAGGTGGGGTACCCTGTGGTCAGGGACGAGGGCCACGCCCCAGCCACCGCACCACCTCCAGGGCACGGGGCTCCCACCCACGTGGCACTGCCTGTGTCTGCACAGTCCTGGTTTTCATTTTAATGGTTCTAATTTGAGAATGTGCCGATGTCATTTTTATGAGGTTGGTGTAAAAAAAATTTACAGCCTTTTCCAAAAAGCTTTTTTTTTTTTTTTTTCCCAAG